AAAAAACTCTGGGAGAATAAGGAGTCTGGAGCAAACTAAGACGAACTCGTGGTTTTTATGAGCTCATGCATGTGCGCATGCGAAGATTGAAAGCCTAGGATGACTCAAAGTGTCTGTCACGTAAGGTGGTCTTATAAAATGTAGTGACGATATAGCCAATCTACATCGCAGCCGTTGTTTTCCACTCATGGAGCCGTTTCGTGGTCGAGAAGTTGTGTATAGGACAGCTGATACCCTTATCTAACAGCACATAAAAAAACTTTCGGACAATTTTTAAGCCCATGAAGTGTCCTACGTCATTTGTGCCAATTTATTATTGGTTCTGCTTACTTCTATTGGAAATGCTGATGATTTTTTTCTATTTGTCTCTGTTACCAAGCACAACTGCGTCTGTGTGGTATAACAATGAGAGCTGGCAAGACCTGACAAGGGCCATAATTTAATAACTAGCGATTTTTTGCCCCTTCTCGTTGGGAGTGGAGCGTTGGTTTTCACATGTAGTGTAGGTAAGTGGGGGACAGATAGTGGCTGATCAAAAGTGAAAACAACCGGGCGCAAACCAGAAAGTTTAAAATGTAGGTATCGTCGACTTTGTTGCGCCATTGGCGGTGGTACTGGAAAGTTGGCAGGCCTTACAAGTAGTAGAAGTATCCACACGGCTACGATGGGATGGCAGCCGGTATGAACTAATGTTGGTAAAGCGGAAATTAAACGACTTTATTGGCGTTTTTTTGCCGGAAATATTTCAATATTTTATCGTTTCATCGCTTCTCCTACGTGGTACTCCTCTCTTGACTGTGCACACCTTTGAGTGTGTTGAAATAAATAAAAACAATGAGTGGTCTTCTTCTTCTTCTCCCTAGCGTTAGTCCCGCAGTCGCAGGGTCCGCTGTTTTGTCAGTCGTCGCCACTTTGCTCTGTCCAGGGCATCTTCTGCCGTGGCCGTGACTTCACTTAGGTCCTTCTTGATTACGTCTTTCCACCTCTTCTTTGGGGCTCCTCGCGGTCGCTTGCCTTGCACTTCGAAGTCCATCGCTGTTCTTATCGGATGATCCTGTGGCCTCCTTAGCACATGCCCATACCATCGCAGACGCTGTTCCCGTACCTTCAGCTGGACAGGGGCAGTCTGCATGACCGCTCTGACATCCCTGTCCAGCCGCGTCCAGCCGCAGGCCCATCTCAGCATCCTCATCTCAGCGGAGTGAAGCTGCCTTTCGTGATTCTTGTTCAGGGGCCAGCACTCGCTGCCGTAGAGCATCGCAGGCCTTACCACTGTCCGGTACACCTTCCCTTTGAGCGTTCTGGAGCACCTTCGATCGCAGAGGATTCCAGTGGACTCCCTCCATTTCATCCATGCAGCGTTGACCGAGCCTTCACTGCCTGATCCACACTGCCGTCGGCTGCCAGATCGCTCCCAAGGTATCGGAAGTCCTCCACTCTTTCGATGGTCTCACCATGGCCGTCCACGATCGGCTCTGCACCCTCTTCAGGAGCTCAGGAACTTGGTCTTCTTGACATTCAGCCGTAGCCCACCTTCTGTCAGGACTTTCTGCCATTTCTGCACCTTGGCTTGAAGTTCCTCTCTACTATCAGCTATCAAGGCGACGTCGTCAGCATAGAGGATAGTCTTCAGTGGTCCCTCCATGAGCCCCTTCACCAGGCCATCTAGTGTTAGGAGGAAGAGGAACGGGCTCAGAGCTGACCCTTGGTGCACCCCAACCGTGATGTCCACCTCCTTCGTTAGGCCGTGTGGGGTGCGTATAGCTGCCTTAGCCCCATCGTACATGTCCTTCACCAGAGAGACCAGGTGTTCTGGCACGTTCCTTCCTCTGAGCGATCTCCATAGTACCGCTCGTAGCCGGTCGAACGCCTTTTCCAGGTCGAGGAAGGCTAGGTAGCAAGGGTCCTGGCGCTTTTCGCGATACTTCTCCATCACTTGCCTTGCGATGAAGATGGCATCCGTTGTAGACCTTTCGGGCATGAACCCGAACTGTTCCTGGGAGATCGGGACCAGCTCCCGCAGTTTCGAGTCGACCAGTCGCTCGTACAGCTTCATTGTATGAGCAGTCAACTTGATCCTTGGTAGATTGGACGATTCCATTCGTTCTTCCCATC